AGCTGGGACTACAGGCACACGCCACCACGCCCAGCTAATTTTTGTATTTTTAGTAGAGACGGGGTTTCACCATGTTGACCAGGATGGTCTCGATCTCTTGACCTCGTGATCCACCCGCCTCGGCCTCCCAAAGTGCTGGGATTACAGGCTTGAGCCACCGCACCCGGCCCTTCTTTTTATATTTTTTAAAAATATTTTTCAAATTTCCTATTAGCTTGCTTATTTATTTATTTATTTTTGAGACAGAGTCTTGCTCTATCACCCAGGCGGGAGTGCAATGGCTCGATCTCAGCTCACTACAACCTCCACCTCCTGGGTTCAAGTGCTTCTTCCGCCTCAGCGTCCCGAGTAGCTGAGATTACAGGCATGCGCCACCATGCACAACTAACTTTTGTATTTTTAGTAGAGATGAGGTTTTGCCATGTTGGACAGGCTGATCTCAAACTCCTGACCTCAGGTGATCCACCTGCCTCGGCCTCCCGAGTGCTGGAATTACAGGCATGAGCCACTGTACCCAGCCTATAAGCATATATTTTTAATTTAAAAAAAAAAAAAAAAAAAGCTGTATTAGTGCTCACTTCAGCAGCACATATACTAAAATTAGAACGATACAGAGAAGATTAGCATGGCCCCTGTGCAAGGATGACACACAAATTCGTGAAGCATTCCATTAAAAATAAATAAATAAATAAATAAAAGCTGTATTAAAGGGAAAGAAATTTTTTATAAGTAAAAATAAATGCTGACAATGAAAATAACAAGAACATAAATAATTCTGTAAGACAGCACATGTGCTCTCACAATCCTAAATTTCAACTCTAAACAAAGATTTAATGTCAAACTTGTAACAAAATTTCCTGATGTTGCTTGTCCCCTTTGTCCTGATACACATTTAATCTGATAAGTACCCCTAATAGTAGAAATCTCTTGCTCACAGGCCTGTCCTGAGTCTTTTCTTCTGCTTCTACATTCTCACTCTATTCTGCATGCTAATGACATTCCTGAGTATCTACTTATTTCTAGCCAGGTCTGTCTCCTGTACATCAGACCCATTTATTCAACTGCCTATAATTTCTCTCTGTGTGGTGATGTAATAGGTACTTTTGAAATGTTCAAGGCTGAATTCATCATCATCTTCCTTAACCATTTTGCCTTTCCTTTATCTCAAAGAACAGTATCACCATCCCCCAACTCAGTTTCCCAATCTAGAAGCCTTGGACTCTACCCATACTGAATCCATCATCAGACCCTATAAATTATGCCTCTAAATTTATCTTAAGTTTGTCCACATCTTTCCATCTCACTACTTTGCTAATTTAGGCTTCTATCACTTCTTTTTTTTCCTTTTCCTTATCTTTTTTTTTTTTTGAGACAGGGTCTCACTCGCTTTGTTGCCCAGGCTGAGTGCAATGGTGGTATCATGGCCCACTGAAGCCCCTATTTCCTGGGCTCAGGCAATCTTCCCATCTCAGGCTCCTGAATAGCTAGGACCAAAGGCATGTGCCACCACATCCAGCGAATTTTTTCTTTTTTGTAGAGATGGGGTCTCCCATGTTGCCCAGGCTGGTCTCAAACTCCTGGGGTCAAGTAATATTCCTGGCTCGGCCTCCCAAAGTGCTGCAATTCTCGGTGTAAACAACCATGCCTGGCCTTCTATCACTTCTTACTGCAATAATTGTCTACAGTTTTGCTCCCTTCATTTTCTAGATTTCTTAAAAGCTTAAGTAGTCTCCAATGTTTAGTATAGAATCCAAACTCTTTAATGTGGCTTATAAGATGCTACAAGGCCCTTACTCTTGCTTTCTTCTCCAGTTTTCATTTCCTGTAGCTCCCCTAACCCTTACTCAACATTATAGCCATCCTAACCTTCACCAAGATTCTAGAATGTGCCATATTCTTTTTCCTCTGAGCCTCTGAAGACATGGTTCCTTCAACATGGAACACACAGCCCAGTCTTAAAGTCTTGACATAAACTTAATATTCTTTTTTTTTTTTCTTGAGATGGAGTCTCACTCTGTCACTCAGGCTGGAGTGCAATGGTGCCATCTCGGTTCACTGCAACCTCTGCCTCCTGGGTTCAAGCAATTCTCCTGCCTCAGCCTCCCGAATAGCTGGGATTACAGGTATGTGCCACTGCACCCCGCTAATTTTTGTATTTTTAGTAGAGATGGGGTTTAACCATCTTGGCCAGGCTGGTCTTGAACTCCTGACCTTGTAATTCACCTGCCTCGGCCTCCCAAAGTGCTGGGATTACAGACATGAGCCACCGTGCCCAGCATAAACTTAACATTCTTTAGAAAGTCTTCTCCAAATCACCTAGGACCCTGCCCTGAAACCAAGAGCGCTGGATGTCCCATCTATAGTTTTCATGGCACCTGCTGTAACTAATACGTTTATCACATTTTATTGTTAGTGACTCTATCTCTGTTCCCCACTTGACTGTAACTTTCAAGAGGTCATGAAAATAGGCCTCTAACTTGATCATCTTGTATCACCAATACTGAAAATATAACAATATCCTCTAACAGAATCACTCATAAACATTTGCTAAATGAAGAAATATAAACCCATTAAAAAATGATGCAGAGTGCTTTTTGAAATGTGATTTTCAGAGGTTATTAGCATAGTATGTATCATAGGATACACTTTTATTTTTAAAAATCTATAAAAATAAAAAACTTATGTGAGTGTCATCGTCATGGAAAAGTTAAAAGTTACCTTACCAGTTTAGTCAAGGGCCTTAGGATCATAAACTAATTCTACATATAATAGTATAAGATGAGGCTGGGCGTGGTGGCTCACGCCTGTAATCCAAGCACTTTGGAGGCCAAGGCGGGCGGATCACCTGAGGTCAGGAGTTCAAGACCAGCCTGACCAACATGGTAAAACCCTGTTTTTATTTAAAAAAAAAAAAAAAATAGTATAAGATGAGACAACAGCTTTGTGAGGTAGGCAAGACAGGTATTACTAGTTTAACCAAATCTTGAAGAAATTTTAAGATTTCCCCAAAACCATTCTAAACCAGTGCTTTTTCAAATCAAAGTAGTCTGTCACTTAATGTGTTAACCACTTCTCATTAAGTAACACTATAAATGACAGGAAAGACCAAGCACAAGATGAACATGAACTTTGAACTGTTTATCTACTATCAGAATTGCAGCCACCCACCCAAAGTGTCTTTTTGTTCACATGACCACTGACACAGAATCATGAGAGTACATGGAGGAGGGTAGTAGTTATAAGAGCGCAAAGCAAAGGTAACTGCCTCATAAAGTGCCTTCATGAAGGGGTCAGTGCCATGGCCCTGACCTCAATAGGCTAGGGTTTCCCAACTCTTCTTAATTTCAATGCAAACAGACTTTACTGGAATACCAAGAACAGTTAGGAAAAAAAAAAAGAAAAAGGTTTAACTTCAACAAAGAAACCACTCAAACAAAAGAGACTCTGGTGTCAAGTTTTTTAGAAGCTGAAGAGTATACTTTCCTGGGTTCAAGCAATTCTCCTCCCTCGGCCTCCCAAGTAGCTGGGATTACAGGCATGCGCCACCATGCCTAGCTAATTTTGTATTTTTAGTAGATATGGGGTTTCTCCATTTTGGTCAGGCTGGTCTCGAACTCCTGATTTCAGGTGATCCACCCGCCCTGGCCTCCCAAAATTCTGGGATTACAGGCATGAGCCACCATACCTGGCAGAAGAGTACATCTTTTAACTGTAAAACTTTAGGACTCTTACTATAAATAGCTAATGACAGTCTCAAAATTAAGTACTTACTTTATTTATTTATTTTGAAACAGAGTCTCGCTCTGTTGCCAGGTGCCAGGCTGGAGTGCAATGGCGTGATCTTGGCTTACTGCAACCTCCAGGTCCCAGGTACAAGCAATTCTCCTGCCTCAGCATCCTGAGTAGCTGGGACTACAGGTGAGGGACAGCTAATTTTTATATTTTTTAGTAGAGATGGGGCACCATGTTGGCCAGGATGGTCTCAATCTCTTGACCTCGTGATTCGCCTACCTCGGCCTCCCAAAGTGCTGGGATTACAGGCGTGAACCACCATGCCCAGCTTGCGTAGGATGCTATTTTGTTTTCCCTGATGCCCTCTGCTGTTTTGTTTTTTGTTTTTTTTTTAGTTTTGTCTTGAATCACCAGGCTTTTGGCATTAGATTGCAGGGGAGGTGACAAATGATGACGCAGCAGGTGGACAATGAGTAAGGGGGTATTACAGTACTTTTTGGTACATAAAAGCTTTGCTATATATAGTCTGTTCCAACCCAAAATCAGTCAGTAAATTAAGTCATAAGATAACTTGGTAACCAAAGTATAGGCACATACCTGATAGTTGTTACCTTTCCAGAACTTTTTCATTTCCTTACGTCTCCAGGCAACAACTGAGGCAGTAATAAGAGTGCAAGGTACTAAATAGAGGAGAGCAGGTTGCCCCTTCTTCATCAGCACCAGAACAACAAATGTAAGTATCATGCCAATAGCATAGGCTGCAAGAAGAATATCAAGCTGTCAGTCATTTCTACATGTTACCAAAGGTGGGTTTTTTCCTCCCTCATTTAAGTGTTGATTTTCAAATATTTCTGAGGACATTTTTGCTCTATGACTTCTTGTAATTTCATCATTTTCCTAGATAGGATTAGGAGAGACCTTCTAGGGAGCTTTTGGACAAATTTGGAAACTGGTTAGCATTTCAATTATTGTTAACCTAAACATGAATCATTGATAAAGATAATAATTCATGAGAGTTTCAATTATCTGTTGCTGTTAAAGATGTTAAATGGTTTCATATTTTAGATAACTGAATCTGTACCAACAGGTACTGAAGTTTATTTTAAAAAATCTTCCTAACACTGATTACATACTTTCTAAGCTTTGATAATAAGCACATACTTTTGAACCTTTCTTAATGACTCAGGGTTTTATTAGGAACACAGGATCTCAGAATATTGCCTTTATAAACAATTTAGTATAGTTCCTAATTTTAAAGATGAGGCAATGGAGTATCAGGGAGTTTAAGTGATTGTCCAAAGGTACACAGGAAAATTAATGAACTCTCTTATAGTCTGCCTTTGGATACTAATATGTTAAAGTCCTGGAGAGTACCATACTGAGAGGCCTCCAACTGCTTTTTTTGAGACAGAACCTTGCTCAGTTGCCCAGGCTGGAGGGCAGTGATGCAATCTTGTCTCACTGAAACCTCCGCTTCTTGAGTTCAAGCAATTTTTTCCTACCTCAGCCTTCTGAGTGGCTGCGACTATAGGTGTGCGCCACCATGCCCAGCTATTATTTGTATTTTTAGTAGAGATGAGATTTCACCATGTTGGCCAGGCTGGTCTCAAACTCCTTACCTCAAGTGATCCACCCATCTCGGCCTCTCAAAGTGCTGGGATTATAGGCATGAGCCACCGCGTCTGGCCAGCCACTGTGCCTGGCAGAGACTGCCTTTTAAATTTCTTTATACTTTTTTCTTTTCTTCATCTTCTCCCTCACTTTTTTCTGTTCTTTTCTCTCTCTCTCTTTCTTTTTTTTTTTTTTAGATAGGGACTCAGTCTTTCACCCAGGCTATAGTGAAATGGTACGATCATGGCTTACTGCAGCCTTGACCTCCTGAGCTTAAGCGTTTCTCCATCTCAGCCTCCTGAGTAGCTGGGACCACAGGCACAACCACCATACCCAGCTATTTTTAATTTTTTTTTCTTTTGAGTCAGGGTCTCAATCTGTCACCCAGGCTGGAGTGCAGTGGTGCAATCTTGGCTCACTGCAACCTCTGCCTCCTGGGTTCAGGCAATGCTCCTGCCTCATCCTCCCGAGTAGCTGGGACTACAGGCACGTGACACCATGCCCAGCTAATTGTTTTCTGTATTTTTAGTAGAGAAGGGATTTCACCACGTTGGCCAGGATGGTATCAATCTCTTGCCCTTGTGATCTGCCTGGCTTGGCCTCCCAAAGTGCTGGGATTACAGGCATGAGTCATTGCGCCCCACCTTAAAATATTTTTTACAGAGATGGGGCCTTACTATGTTGCCCAGGCTGGTATTGAACTCCTGGGCTCAGGCAATCTGCTCGCCTTGGCCCCCAAAGTGCTAGAACTACAGGGGTGAACCACCATGCCCAAACTATACTCCTTCATTTTTAGACCTCTGTCTTTTCCTCCAGATAATACAATTCAACATTTAATACAAAGAAAAAACAAAAATTTACCAACTGTAGAGGAAACATAGTATATATAAGAAGAACCAGTCTGAACATCAAATCTTCTACAGTACGCAATCAATAGGCCTTAAAAAAAAAAACAACTCCATATTATTTTCTTAAAACAACAGCAATGCAAATTCAACTGTTAACTATAGTAACAGTAAATGTTGCATTGAATCTTCATTGTTGCATTATGAAAACATTCAAGTACCTCAAATTCTGGACAAAGTTTTACATGCTGATTTTTAAAATGCTTAATAACATATTTTAAACATCTCCTCAAGCTATTAAATAATTTTTAACTGTCATTTTTATTAGCTGATCAATATTCCATGTCATGAAGAAAACTTTTAAAATTTATAATTAAAAAATGTATTGAACAGAAAAATAGGTTTACAGTAAACTAAAATCTTCTGCACAGCCAAGGAAACAGTCAACAAAGTCAGCACCTATGAAATGGGAGAAAATATTTGCAAACTATATATCTGATAAGGGGTTAATATCTAAAATATATTAATATAAGAAACTTAACTCAATAATAAGTAAACAACCCAATTAGAAAATGGGCAAATAATTTGAATAGCCAGTTCTCAATAGAAGACACACAAACAGCCAACAGATATATGAAAAAATTGCTCAAGCCGGGCGCGGTGGTTCACGCCTGTAATCCCAGCACTTTGGGAGGCCGAGGCAGGTGGATCACGAGGTCAAGAGATCGAGACCATCCTGGTCAACATGGTGAAACCCCGTCTCTACTAAAAATACAAAAAAAATAATTAGCTGGGCATGGTGGCGCGTGCCTGTAATCCCAGCTACTCAGGAGGCTGAGGCAGGAGAATTGCCTGAACCCAGGAGGCGGAGGTTGCAGTGAGCCGAGATCGTGCCATTGCACTCCAGCCTGGGTAACAAGAGTGAAACTCGGTCTCAAAAAAAAAAAACTTTTTGATAATAGGAAAAAAAAAATATATAAGGTGGTATCATCAGAAAAATATAATTCATATTTTTCTGATGATACCACCTTACATATTTTAGAATGCCTATTATCAAAAAGATTAAAAGTAAGTCTTAGAGGGGAAGTAACAAAAAGGGAACCCTTGTACATTGTTGATAGGAATGTAAATTAGTGTAGCCATTATAAAAACCAGTATGGTGGTTCTTCAGAAAATTAAAATTAGAACCACCGTATGATCTAGTAATCCCACTACTGAGTATATATCCAAAGGAAGTGAAATCAGTATGTCAAAGAGACATCTGCATTCCTATCTTCACTGCAGCATTATTCGCAATAGCTAAGATATGGAAGCAAACTATGTGCCCATCAACAGATGAATGAATAAAGAAAATATGGTATATACACAGACTGGAAAACTATTAAGTCTTTTTCTTTTTTTTTGAGATGGAGTCTCGTTCTGTCACCCAGGCTGGAGTGCAGTGGTGTGATCTCAGTTCACTGTAACCTCTGTCTCCTGGGTTTATGTGGTTCTCCTGCCTCAGCCTCCCGAGTAGCTGGGAATACAGGCACGTGCCACCATGCCTGACTAATTTTTGTATTTTTAGTAGAGATGGGGTTTCACCATGTTGGCCAGACTGGTTTTGAAGTCCTGGCCTCAACTGATCCGCTCACCTCAGCCTCCCAAAGGGCTGGGATTACAGGCGTGAGCTACCACGCTAGGCTCACGCTTTCATTTGTAAACGTGCAATTATGTAGAAAGAACTCATTTAATACCTATTTCTTGTAAGAAATTTGTTCAACCATTTCTTCTTCCCAAATTAGAAATCTCACCTTGTATTTATTTATCATTTTATAAAAACAGAAAGAATGACAGTTAACCACTTAAAAAATTATAAAACAATTTTATTATCTTTATTAGTTATTTGAATTAATTAGTTTTGGTCTCTAAAAAATTAATAAATTAAGTTCCTTGTTTCTTCTTTTTTCTTTTTCTACCATTATCTTGATCTTGAAGTTCCTTATTGTTTCTGCTGTTTAATCACATATCCATATTTTTTTTTAATTATACTTTTTTCCTCCCTAAATTCAAATTTAGCTTTTAGGATTAAGTCACGTATTGTCAGCACCTCTGCTCTTTGGGGAAATATTTTTGTTTTAGACCTTTGACATTTACTTCAATAATGTAATATTTAAATACTATTTTTACCAGTTTTATGCCAAGCTCTATATAGAAGATCTTTTATAGCACTTGGTGTGGAAATGGTAAAATCAGGTAAAAGTTTAATGATATTCAAAGAAGTGTAAGGTTACTCAATAGAATGTTTTCCTTATTTTACCAATTATCTGAATGGAGATTCACTGAGCTAAGAGAGCTGCTATACTGGACTTTGCCATGTCAACTTGCAAGGCAACACTGGTAACTTCTCCCTCTCTACCTGGTTTTACTACGTAAATAGAAGGGCTTTTTCAGAAGCACCGGTACTCCTCGCCCGTCCACCACAGGCAGTTAATACATAGGAGACTGTAAGAAAAATGAAGAAGGAAAAACTCAGCTGATAGAGGAGTATTATTAATTACTTCTAAACTAAATTATCACTGGGGTTGGATTAAATTTATTTCACAGGCAGTGCCATGAGAAAAATAAGGCAGAACTACACTGACCGCCAGAGCAGACATGCTAAGAGAAGGTGATCAATTCCACTATAAACTGTGTCTTTCTGTATCATGCAGTCCTACAAGCTGGTGTTCTTCCATGTTTCTCCTCTTGATCGTGGCCTTGCCTAATACTCTTAAACTACTTTTTCTAAAACATAACTGTTATCTTAAAATATAAGTAATATAAGATAAGTAAATATAAGATAATTAAAATATAAGATAAGTAAAATATGTTTGGCATTATTATATTCATTATTATATTCAACTTATAAAAAGGGTCACAAATATACTTCTTGAAGAAGGTTAAACTGATCCTAGTTACTTCCTCTAATTAACTTTGAGCCATACGAGCTATTACATTACTTTGGTTCTTACCACTTGGGCTTTATCTTCTACCCCTCAATAAGCTTTTTTGTTATGACAATCCCAGCTCTAGTGACAGCCAGAAATAGTTAAATCAGAATAGGTAACTTTTACAGATCCCATACACATGATGATTTAAGATCATCAGTCTATTTTTTTTACTGAAATTCTTACAATTGCTTACCTGGTACAATAATGTCTCCAAAACCCAATATTGAAACAGGCATGAGGCATACACTCATTACTGAGAAATAGGTCAGCTTTGGTACTCTGATGACTACTGGCAACTGTTCAAAAACAAAACAAAATAAAACAAAAAAGAGGCCACCAATGAACCTCTTAGCAATCTTTACCCATATTTTTTATTCATTTATTTTTTGGAGACAGAGTCTCACTCTGTCAACCAGGTGGAGTGCAGTGGTAAGATCTCAGCTCACTGCAAATGCAACCTCTGCCTCCCGGATTCAAACGATTCTCCTGCCTCAGCCTCCCAAGTAGCTGGGATTACAGGCATGAGCCACCATGCCCAGCTAATTTTTAGAGACAGGGTTTCACCATGTTGGCCAGGCTGGTCTCGAACTCCTGACCTCAGTCAATTCGCCTGCTTTGGCCTCCCAAAGTGCTGGGATTACAGGCGTGCGCCACCATGCCTGGCCACCCATATCTTCTAGAAAGGGAATGATTAACATTAGAATAATTCTTTTGACAATTTAAAGGAACTTGAAATACTCTGTTTCTATTTCCAAAAGAAATAGTTTTGAAAAAATAAAGCCCAACACACATGTAGGATTAACAGCATTAATCAACTATCCCCACATTTAGCCTTTTTTTTTCTCTTTATCAAGAATAGAACTCAGGCCTTGAAACAGATTTTTTTTTGGCAACCTGGATTTTTTTCCCCCAAAGAAGAGTCTTGTCTCAGAGGGTATGATTTAAAGTCCAATGAACATATCTGAAATACAATCCTTACTTTCTCATGGGGAGCTGAGGGTTGACCAGTGGCTTCCACCAAGTTTCCATCATTCTAGGATGAAACCCAAGTCAATAGGTATTTAATAATTTAGAATAACTAAGAAAAGAGCTATATTTTCTGAGAAATAAGTTTTACAATACCTTCACATGCACTACGTGACCAATGAATTACACAGGAAGGCAAACTATTAACTGGATACACATACATACACTTGGACAGCCATTTCTATTTAATTGCCATCCTACCTTTTCATTATTTCCAAAAGGTCCAGCTGCAAGTTCAACCATGATGCTCTCACCATTCTAAAATTGAGAAGGAGGAGAAAGGAAGTTGTCTAATCATTTAAAGAGAACAATCTGCCACTATTCAAGTATCATTTAGCCCCATGGCATATGGCCTACTGTACACTGACTGAAAATGGGCTACAGACTGCCTTTTTCCTAAAAGTTTCTGCAGATAGCAAAAACTGAAGTCATCTAAAATAAAGTTCATCGAGCACAGTTGTTCCACTTTATCAGAGTTTAACAAGTCTCAGAAACTGGCAAATGAATCATGTAAAAATAATTCAAGTGAACCTTCAGTTCTGATTTGTACTCACATGTTAAATATCTGACATTTGTAATGGGATATAAATTTTAGGTTCAGTACTTTTAGTTACATTATGTCATATACTATATGCTCTTAGTGGTTTTCAGCAATGTCAGTGAAGAAGGTCATATTAAAATCTTTTATATTTAGCTTTGTAAAAAATATTGGTAACTTTATTTGAATAAATATACATCTGACCTTCTGGCTACTCACCACAATAACAAAACAATAAAAGCAAACTTGAAAAGACCCAGCCCTATAGAACCTGAGAACCTTCTCTAGCCTAAATTTTATCCAATTTCAGCCCTGCCTGCTTTCTTATGATCCAATCAAAACATTAACCTTAGCTAAATTTCCCTCCCTTGTGTCTGGATAAAGACTTTTCATGTGGGCTGTGTGAGGGGTTCATTTAAAAAAATTTTCCTGATAGCCAAGTCTGTTGTGGAGAGGGAAAACACTGTAGGGCAGCAAGCTAAGACTGCATAAACCACTCATTTTATGTTTCATATTATGATAAACCTATCAGCAAAACAGGTACAGGGAAGATAAACAAATCCTAATTTCAACAAAATTTGATTGACTATAATATTTTCCATGTGGGTGGGGTGCACAGAATAAACCACTTGAGTGTTTTTAAAACGACCTCATTGATTGCTGAGCTGAGTAGAAAGGAGGACAAAAATCTCTAGCTGCAGAAATCTTTTGCTCGTGTTAAGCTTTGGGTTATAGAAGGGTTAAGCCAAAGGAGTTTAGAAAAATAAACATACTAAGTAGAATTCTTTAAAGCAGATTCCCAGGTTGTGATAACATTTCCAGATAAAGAGTTAATTTTGGTTCACTTTCTAATTGTTACTTAAAACATTTAACTGAAGACCATCGTTGACATTCTCCCATACATTTAAAGGTACCTGAATAACTACTATTTGTAAGACACAATACTGAGCACAGTGGTGAATGGAAAAAAATAAGACAGTCTCTTATTGCTGTACTCTTAGGGCGACCTGCCTTGCCAACTCACTAGAAGGCAACAAATACGTGGGTCAAGAAGATGTTTACAATATGCAATATTTTGTCAAATTTACAGTGAAAACCAGGAAAATCAGCAATATCTGATTTTGAGTTGCCTACTAAAGTAAGGTCTGCTGCCTTAATAAAAACAAAATCAAACTGAGAAGAAGATATTAAAGTAAATCTACTGTAGTGAACTCCAAAGAGCACTTAGCTTTTTTCACCATTTCAGGTTGCTAGAAATCATGTTCCTAGTCAGTAGGAACTGAGACAGAAATAATTTCCTAAGATGAAAAATTTCTTAAGCACAAAAGAAAGAGGGCTATAAGACACCTTTATTATTATCCCACCTTTAGAATTCTGAAACATTCTATGTATAAGGGAATGCAAATGGTTTGCTGGCAGATATGTTTATCTACAAAGTGAGAGTAGTGTCAGAATGGAAAAGTTATTGTTTAGTTAAAAAAAATAGCTTAGTTACAGTTTACAGCTATATCTACTGTGTAATATACGTGTCATATGTTATGGACTATCTGTTCATTTATGGAAATGGCTTTGTAGAAGGAACATTTCACTTTTGTTATAAGATCTTTGACAGGATATCCTACAAAAACACATTTTTGAATCAAGTTAAAAATGCCCTAATAAATTAACAATTTTATTTTATTTTTTGAGACAGAGTCTTACTCTGTTGCCTGGCCTGGAGTGTAGTGGTGTAATCTTGGCTCACTGTAACCTCCACCTCCAGGGTTCGAGTGATCCTCCTATCTCAGTCTCCCAAGTAGCTAGGTCTACAGGTACACATCACCACACTTGGCTAATTATTATTTTTTATTTATTTTATTTTATTTTTCGAGATGGAGTCTTGCTCTGTCACTCAAGCTGAAGTGCAGCGGCACAATCTTGGCTCACTGCAACCTCTGCCTCCCGAGTTCAAGTGATTCTCCTCCCTCAGCCCCCACAGGTAGCTGGGATTACAGGTGCCCGCCACTGCACACGGCTAATATTTGTCTTTTTAGTGGAGACGGGGTTTCACCATCTTGGCTAGGCTGGTCTCAAACTCCTGACCTCAAGGGACCCATCTGCCTTGACCTCCCAAAGTGCTGGGATTACGGGCATGAGCCACTGTGCCTGGTCTCTAAATTATTGTATTTTTAGTATAGACAGAGTTTCACCATGTTGGCCAGGTTGGTCTCAAATCCTTGACCTCAAGTATCTGCCAGCCTGCACTCCCAAAGTGCTGGGATTACAGGTGTGAGCCACCACGCCTGGCCAAATTGACAAGTTTAGTTATAACCCATAATACTAGTTCTATGAGTTATTTTTTTAGGTTACTATTGTTCAGTGAAGTCAATGAATCAAATGGCTCATCATTAAGTGACAGAAAGGTGCTAGTAAAATTGTTTGGTTATGACAGGCATGGTGGTTCACACTTGTAAATCCTAGCACTTTGGGTGGCTGAGGCAGAAGGATCTCTTGAACTCAAGAGTTTGAGATCAGTCTGGGCAATATAGTAAACTCCATCTCGACAAAAAATACAAAAATTGGCTGGGTGTGGTGGTATGCCCCTGTAGTATCAGCTATTTGGGAGGCTGAGGTGGGAGGATCACCTGGGCCTGAGGAAGTTAAGCCTGCAGTAAGTGGTGATTGAGCCACTGCACTCCAGCTTGGGTGGCAGGTCAAGACCCTGAATCAAAGAAGAAAAAAAAGGTTTGGTTGGTTAGCTGTATTTTGGGGCAGTTGATTATATTTGTTACCTACTATAATTTTAGCTCCCCAACAGAGCACAGTTTGTCTTTATGCCATTATAGCAAATATCAGAAGTGTAGATTTTTACAGTGATTTCATAGGTGGTAGGTTTAATGAATGGGTAAAGAAGACATGAGGCCAGGCGTCACGGCTTATGCCTATAATCCCAATACTTTGGGAAGCCAAGGTGGGAGGACTGCTTGAGCCCAGGAGTTTGAGGCTGCAGTGAATCAGGATTGTGCCATTACACTTCAGCCTCAAGACTCACCCTTAAAAAAAAGAAGAAGGAATGACAAGTAAAGTAGAGAATATCAAATACTTAAACACTTGAGAGTGACAAAGGATAAAATAGTTACAAAGAAAGACTCAAAATGGGAGAAAGTGGGGGAATTAAGCAATAGTTAATAATATTATATTCATGAGACAGGAAAAAGATCAAGGTAGAAAAACTGGACAAATAATTAAGGACCACCATACTCACCCAACACCTCTTCTCATTTTACTTAAGAACTAGTGGCAGACCTGGGAATATATTATTAGGAGCTGCCAGTTGCTGATTCTAACTTCATGGAAAAAGCCAGTCTGAGAGAATGAACAAAAGGACAGAAGCAAAAAAGGGAGAGTATGTGGCCCTGGGTCTAGTTTCTCTTGATGCCAGCCCATGCTGGCCTACAAACACAGTCTAGATAAATGGGACTTTTTGGGTACAGAAGGTTTAGGTTGGGTTCTGTTAGTTGGAACCAAAAGAATTCCACTGAAGTGGGTGAGAGGATGAACGGCTAGCAATACTCCCTCATACAATGGATTAGTAAATGGAAGCAGAAAGGGCTAAGTAAACTTGCCTATGGCTGCAGGGTTGCAAAGCTACATTCTAGGCCTTCCGATTTCTAGGGTGCTGCTCTTTCTTAGACTCAAACTAAGGCTTCAGAAATGATATTTTACTTTTTTTTACTGTCTATATTGCATACAGTAAACATTTAGCTCATAAGAAAAATTACTTTAAAAAGGGAAGAAAATTACAGACATTCTCATATTTGTACCAGTCAAAAGACCTTTTAAAAATCTAACAAAATGATTAAAGGCTTGAAAATTAAAAGGCCAATTTCAATGACAATTCTCTTAAGAGAATTAGAACTCAGTGGTAAACATCTGCAAAATCAATAATCTAGGAGCAGACTTAAGATTCTTACTTTTTTTAAAATTTTTCTTCATGAATTTCAAAAATATGGTCATACCTTTGTGATGAATGGTGTTATAAAAACAAAAAATACATCATAGAGAAGGAGAAGGCCTAGAAGTATCACACATGACTGTTGAAGAAAGAAACAAAATTAAAGGTCAATCTTCCTATATGTAAATTAAGACATTAAATTATTTTTCAAGTGCAAATAAACATATGAATGTACATTTGAATATAATTTTTAAAAAGACATCTTATGGTTAATACTATGTGTACTTTTATTCTATATATTAAAACCCTTATCTTCTTTATCTTGTTTTTTTTAATTTTTTTATTTTTTATTTTTATTTTTATTGCATTTTAGGTTTTGGGGTCTTTATCTTGTTTTTTAAAAAAATCACTGAACCAAAGAAATGCACTAGGCTAGGTGCAGTGGCTCACACGTATAATCCCAGCACTTTGGGAGGCCAAGGCAGGCAGATCAAGAGGTCAAGAGATCGAGACCATCCTGGCCAACACGGTGAAACCCCGTATCTACTAAAAATACAAAAAAATTAGCTGGGCATGGTGGCGTGCCCCTGTAGTCCCAGCTACTCGGGAGGCTGAGGCAGGAGAATTGCTTGAACCCGGGAGGTGGAGGTTGCCAGTGAGCCAAGGTCGCACCACTGCACTCCAGCCTGGTGCCTGGTGACGGAATGAGACTCTGTCTCAAAAAAAAAAAGAAATGTGCTTCCCTGATATTAAGTCGTGTTAACGATTTTATGAATGTGGCAGACAGTATGCGTGATTAAAAATATTTTAGGCATGGTGCAGTGGCTCATGCCTGCAATCCCAGCACTTTGGGAGGCCAAGTCAGGAGGATACTTGCGGCTAGCAGTTTGAGAACAGCAGCATAGCAACACCTCCATCTCTATAAAAACAAACAAAAACATTTAGCTAAAATAATGTGTACACATGGATAAGAGTTGGGAATAATAGGCACTGGATACTCGGCATGATTGTAGGGTTAGAAAGTGTAAGGAATGAGAAATTGCTCGATGGGGACAACACACATTCGTCGAGTGATGGCTATACTATAATCCCACATTTCACCACTACCCAATATATCCATGTAATAAAACTACACTTGAACCCCTTACATTTATACAAGTAAAAGAAAGGAAAAAAAAACTATAATCATTTAGCCAACAAATCAGTGGTTGTCTGGGCCTGGGAGTTAGGACTGATTGCAAAGGCCACGGTAGAGCTTTTGGAAGAGATGAGAAATGTTCTACAACTTCACTAGCATAGTGGTTACAAAGGTAAGTTTGTAAAATTTCCATAAACAGTACACTGAAAATTGGTGCATTTAAATGTATGTAAATTATGGTTAATAAAGTTGTCTTTTAAAAATTTATTTTAACTAGCAAAGTAGTATCGTATACATTACCTTGAAGTTGGGTAACTTCAGTGTTTTAATTAAATTCAGACAGAAAGCAATCCCCAAGATATCCTGTAAAATCCAAGCCCACCTAAAAATCAAAAGATATTACTCTATTGCTTTACCAATTTTTAGATGAAGCTTTTCAAAAGACATAGATCACTGAGGTAATATTGTTTAATTGCTATGATTTCACTATTCCATATATATTTTTTGAGACAGCATCTCACTCTGTCACCCAGGCTGGAGTATAGTGGTGCGATCTCAGCTCACTGCAATGTCTGCCTCCTGGGTACACGCAATTTTTGTGCCTCAGCCTCTGGAGTAGCTGGGACTACAGGCATGTGCCATCATGCTTGGCTGATTTTTGACTATTCAATTATTAAACAGCAAGCATAACAACAAAACCCCTCATATATTCCATATTTGGTAATTTTATTGTCCTAGTAGAATATTATTATTATTATTATTGAGACAGAGTCTCACTCCGTCACCAGGCACCAGGCTGGAGTGCAGTGGTGCGACCTCGGCTCACTGCAACCTCCGCCTCCCGGGTTCAAGCAATTCTCCTGCCTCAGCCTCCCGAGTAGCTGGGACTACGGGCATGCAACACCATGCCCAGCTAATTTTTTTGTATTTTTAGTAGATACGGGGTTTCACCGTGTTGGCCAGGATGGTCTCGATCTCCTGACCTCATGATCTGCCCACCTCATCCTCCCAAAGTGCTGGGATTACAGGCATGAGCCACTTCTCCCGGCCATGAATATTATTATACTAAGAAATAGTTGAAAAGGCTACCTCAGAAGAACATATATCAGACATAAATGAGTATTTATCTTTAACCTTTTAACTTATTATTTATTTATTTATTTTTAAAGACAAGATTTCACCATGTTGGTCAGGCTGATCTTGAACTCCTGACCTCAGGTGATCTGCCCACCTTGGCCTCCAAAGCGCTTGGATTACAGGCGTGAGCCACCTTGCCCGGCCTAACCTTTTAACTTATACAGATGTCTCATTCTAGAAAACAGCTGTTAACAAAAGATTATCAGTGTTAACACAGATCCAAATACCTTGAATATAAAGAATACAAGAGCTAGTGGCCAGGTATGGTAGCTCACATCTGTAATCCCAGCACTTTGGAAGGCCAAGGTGGGCGGATCATGAGGTAAGGAGTTCAAGACCAACCTGACCAACATGGTGAAACCCATCTCAACTAGAAATACAAAAATTAGCCCAGCATGGTGGAAGGCACCTGTAATCCTAGCTACTCAGGAGGCTGAGGCAGGAGAATGGCTTGAAACTGGGAGGAGGTTGCCATGAGCCAAGATTGAGCTACTGTACCAGCATGTGTGACAGAGAGAGATTATGTCTCAAAAACAAGAAAACAAGAGCTATGCAACCACTTATTCCATCAGAAAGCATTATCCATTGATTATTCTACCTGAAGCTACATAAAGTTGTATGAGCTTTGTTTCTAAAATTTTCAGCCATTAAATCCTTTCAGTCTTCAATAGTTTTATTAATAAACCATTACATAAACCTAAGTATATATTTTTTTCTGGTTGTCTTCCTGCAAATGAACAGATATCTGTATATTTTCTTATAGTCCCTTCTTTCTTTCATAAAAGACAGCATACTCTCTATATATTTTTGCACTTTGCTTTTTTCACTTAAAAAAAATACAAATATCAAATCAAAGGGGATTAAAGACTTAAATCTAAGACCTGAAACTATGAAACTACTAGACGAAAACATTGGGGAAATGTTCCAGGACATTGGTCTTGGCTAAGATTTCTTGAGTAAGACTTCAAAAGCACAGACAACCAAAGCAAAAATGTACAAATGGAATTAAATCAAGCTAAAAAGCTTTTGCACAGCAAAGGAAGAGACAACCCACAAAATGAAAAAACAATCTGCAAACTACCCATCTGCCAAGGGATTAATAACCAGAATATATAAGGAGCTCATACAACTCAATAGGAAAAAAACAAATAACCTGATTAAAAATTGGGCAAAATATCTGAATAGGTATTTCTCCAAAAATATACAAATGACAAACAGATATATGAAAAAATGCTCAAGATTTCCAATCAGATGAAATCTGGTTGCGGGCAGAGACATATAAATCAAAACTATAATGAGATATCTTATTCCAGAATGCTGGCAAGGATGTGGGAAACCTTGTACACCGTTGGTGGGAATTAGCACAGCCACTATGAAGAACAGTATAGAAGTTCCTCAAAAAATGGAAATCAGAACTACCATATTATCCAGCAATCCCACCACTGGATATACATCCAAAATAAATGAAATCAGTATATCAAAGAGATATCTGAACTCTCATGTTTATTGTAGCACTATTCACAATTGCAAAGATACGGAATCAACCTAAGTGTTCATCAGTGAATAAACAGATAAAGGAAATTATACATACATATGAAATTATACACAAACACAATGGAATATTATTCAGCCACAAAAAAGAATGAAGTCTTGTCATTTGCAAAAACATGGCTGGAACTGGAAGACATCATGTTAAGTGAAATAAGCCTAGTACAGAAAGACAACTACTGCATGTTCTCACTCATAGCGGGAGCTAAAATTAAGAAAATAAAAATTAAAAATTGAACTCATGGAGATAGTAGAATGATGGCTACCAGAGGCTAAAAACAGGTGGGGCGGGGGTAGTAAAGATGGTTAATGGGTACAAAAATAGAGTTAAATAAAATAAATAAGATCTAGCATTTGGTAGTACAGTAAGGTGATACAGTTAATAATAACTTATTGTATATTGTAAAATAACTAAAAGAGTGAAATTGGAATGTTCCCAACACAAAGAAATGATAAAGGCTTGAGGTGATGGATACCACAATTACCCTGATCTGATCATTACACATAGTATGCCTGTATCAAAACATCACATATATCCCATAAATATATACAGTTATGTTCACATAATAATCAAAGATAAAAATAAAGCATAGATTGTGCTCCTTTTTGCACTTTATATATCATAGAGTATGTTCTCTTTTGTTTCTGATGACTTTGACTTAGCATTACGTCTGAGATTCATTCATGCTTGTGCATATGGTATATGGCTTACTTACTGGTGAATAGTATTCCATGGTGTAAATATAACATAATGCATTCATCCATTCAAGGTTTGATGGACATTTGGATTGTTTCTACACTCACTTTCTCTCTCTCTGTGTCTCTCTCTCTTCTGGAACTGGCTGCAAATCAGTTCTAGAGATCTTCACTGTTTAGAGCTGCATTGCACTCTACTGTGTGGCTATACCAAAATTAAGTATATTATTAAAATCTATTTCAGTGTATGTGTTGAAATCATAATTCATATTTCCTTCTCTATATGCATTCAAATGCATTCGCATAAGATCTGCTTACTTTAAAAGTAGTTGATTACAAGACTGGTGTTCTGGCACAGAAGTAAAAAAAAAATTCCATAATAATCATAATGAATAAGTATCAGGGCAAGATATGAAACAATTCATCCTTAATCTAAAAGCAAATATATCGAGAATTCATACCTGTCTTCATTTCGAAACACAGCCCAAACAACAGCTACTGCTATGCATAGTCCAGCGAGAAAAATAAGTCTCACTTCCACACTTTTGCCACGACACAGAATCCTAAAAAAGCAAAGTGAAATAGTTAACGCTGCAGATGAAGTACAATGTTCACTTAATATAAGACGTGGCAAATGTTGGCCGGGCGCGGTGGCTCATGCCTGTAATCCAAGCACTTTGGAGGCCAAGGCGGGCAGATCACCTGAGGTCGGGAGTTCAAGACCAGCCTGACCAACATGGTCTCTAAAAAATAAATAAATAAAAGAAGTGGCAAATGTTAACCACAGCCATAAGAAGTGACTGAAATATCAATTTAGAAGTCCTGATTTTAAGTAAAACAAATGACATAATAAAATGTTTATCAGTTCAATGTAATTTTCCATGATGATGAAAATGTCCTATATCTGTGCTGTACAATATGGTAGCTACTGCCACATGTGGCTATTGAGCACTTGAAATGTGGCTAATGAGAATGAAAAACTCGATTTTTAATTTTATTTAATTTTACTTAAATTTAAACACCTATAGGTCCAGTTTGTATCAGACTGCATACTTTTCAAATAATACTTCTACTTTTTCTTGTAATGTTTTAAATTATAAATACCAACATCGTAAGATTTTCTGTAAGAGATACGTACATGCATTGTCCATATGGTATCTTACGAATTAGTGCAGCCAGACAGCTGTACAGACTCATTGACGATGCTATGCAGAAAACTGCTATCATAACATAAACTAGAAAAAAACAAAACACTAAATTACATGAGAACAGAAAGGTGATAAGAAAATATTTATATAAGCAATATTACTTCTTTAGCTTTCTTTATTGAATCATACTTCCAATGAAGTGACTATACTATGACCTGAATTATTTACTAAGCTGAAATGTAGATCTTGAGGGTTTTTTTTTTTTTTTTTTTTTGAGAAAGAGTCTTGCCCAGTCATCCAGTCGCCCAGGCCAGAGTGCAGTGGCATGATCTCGGCTCACTGCAACCTTCGCCTCCTGAGTTCAAGCGATTCTCCTGTGTCAGCCTCCTGAGTAGCTGGGACTACAGGCATGTGCCACCACATTCGGCCAACTTTTGTAGTTTTAGTAGAGATGGAGTTTTGCCTTGTTGTCCCTGCTGGTCTCAAACCCTGGACCTTAGTGATCTACCCGCCTTGGCCTCCCAAAGTGCTGGGATTGCAGGTGTGAGCCAACCATCTTCTTTTTATATAATAATTAATTTAAGGAAATTTCTCATCAAAAATTAAAATATGCTTTTGGGTAGAGGGCTCTCTTTTCTCTATCAATGACTACTATCAACTGAGAGTTGGTAACACAAATTAATCTGAAGGAGTATTAATAAAATCATCTTTTTGATGTCAACATAATAAATATCATCCTAGTACTTGCTCTATCAGCAACAGGTTGAAATGAGTGATATTCACAAAATGAGGTTTTTTCTAAATTTATTTTTGAGATGGAGTCTCACTCTGTCACCTAGGCTGGAGTGCAATCATGCGATCTTGGCTAGCCATAACCTCCGCCTTCCCAGCTTAAGCAATTCTCCTGCCTCAGCCTCCCGAGTAGCTGGGATTACAGGCACATGCCACCACGCCCAGCTAATTTTTATATTTTTAGTAGACACAGGGTTTTATCATGTTGGCAAGGCTAGTCTTGAACCCCTGCCCTCAAGCGATCCGTGAACCTTGGCCTCCCAAAGTGCTGGGATTACAGGCGAGAGCCACTGCATCAATCCAGAATGAGTTCTTTCAAATTAAAAAATACACACCATAAGCCAGGTACAGTGGCTCATGCCTGCAATCCCAGCAATTTGGGAGGCCAAGGCAGGCTGATCACCTGAGGTCGGGACTTTGAGACCAGCCTGGTCAACATGGTGAAACCCTGTCTCTACTAAAAATACAAAAATTAGCTGGGCATAGTGGCAGATGCCTGTAATCCCAGCTTCTTGGGAGGCTGAAGCAAGAGAATCGTTTGAACTCTGGAGGCAAAGGTTGTGGTAAGCCGAGATTGCACCATTGCACTCCAGCATGGGTGACAAGAGCAGGACTCCAGCTCAATAAATAAATAAATAAATAAATAAATAAAATATGAATACAAATATTAGCTGGGCATGATGCCATGCGCCTGTAGTCCCAGCTACGTAGGAGGCTGAGGCAGGGAAATGGCTTGAATGTGGGAGGCACAGGTTGCAGTGAGGCCAGATTGTACCACTGCACTCCCGCCTGGGTGATAGAGCAGAGCAAGACTCCATCTCAAAAAACAAACAAACAAACCAATAAAAGATGTCATAGGTCTAGTTTTTAAAATGCTGTCACAGGACAAGAGAAACTGAACAAAAACTGAATGAAACAAACCCCAAGGCCTAGTTTTCTAAACCAGAAATTTGTGCTAATGCTATACACATAAGCGTGGAAGCCTTTAGTGGTTCTTAAATGGGCTTTTTGCTAGTTCTTATCAGGTACACTTCTTTTTCTCTGGTTTCCCTTCTCTTTGTGTTGTATACTGTCCGGGGATGGCAAATTTTCATTCTGTTAGACCATCAATAAGACAGTTCAGGAGATGGACAAGCCATTACAGTTCTACTCCCACTTTCTTCAAGGAAATAAAGGAATAGCTACTACTTTCTAGATCACAGGGAAGTACCTGTGTGTCTTCAGATATAATATGATCCTAACTGCCGATATAAGTAAAATAAAATTCAAGCAATAAAACACCTTTATTTGCAAACAGCTATATTTTGGGAGTAAGTAGAGGCAATACATCATAATTTGAATAATATTCTATTTCACATAACTAAACACAGCCACCAAGAACTCCTTAGTCCACTGCTTAGATACTGAGCTATATCATTCTTCATCTACAGAGAGAAAAACTTAGGGACCATGGCAACTATTTCAAGTCATCCATGAAGAAGTGTTCTCATCTGAAAACAGAGAGTATTTTTAATCTGAGTATTTTTTATCTCAGAGTAACAGAGACCTAACACTCTGACAATTAAAAAAAAATATTAATAAAATTATACAGTAAGTTTTCCAGGTAGAATGGCTTAAAGGAAAAGATAAATCTAGTATTAGTCAGTGAGACAATTAAAAAATTAATATTAACCAAATTATTCATGTAAGTTTTCCAGGTAGAATGGCCAAAAGGAAAAGATAAATCTAGTATTAATCAATGAAAAGAATGTATGTTAACAATAGCAAACGTAAAATATGACTTCTTACCCAACCACTTGTAGAAGAAATAAAGTAAGACCATCATAACACAGCAGATGACCACAAATATTACAACTGTAAGAGGACCAAATGTTAGATATTCTTCCTTCTTTTTCCTCATTTCTCTATCGTCAGTTGTCACTCCGTTCAAGTTTTCCCTGTATAAACACACAAGAACTTTAGCAAATCTTAGCCAAGCATAGCTATTTAAAAAAATCTCTCTCTAACACCAATTTAGTTTCTGATTAAGAAAGCAATGTATTTTTATCAAAATATTTTTTATTATTTTTCTAGGATAATCTTGGTTTTTTTTGTTTTTTGTTTTTTTTTTTTGGAGACAGAGTTTTGCTCTTGTTGCCCAGCCTTCAGTACAATGGTGCAATCTCGGCTCACCGCAACCTCCACCTCCCAGGTTCAAGCGATTCTCCTGTCTCAGCCTTCTGAGTAGCTGGGATTACAGGCATGTGCCACCTCGCCTGGCTAATTTTGTATTTTTAATACAGATGGGGTTTTTCCATGTTGGTCAGGCTGGTCTTGAACTCCCGACCTCAGGTGATCCACCCGCCTTGGCCTCCCAAAGTGCTGGGATTATAGGTGTGAGCCACTGCGCCCAGCCTAAGATATCTTGTTATAGCAACTAATGTACTTTTTAAAAACTGCACCCCAAAAAGAAATATTTAATCTAGAAGAAATTTTTAATCTAGGCTGGATGCAGTGGCTCACACCTGTAATCCCAGCACTTTGGGAGGCCGAGGCGGGTAGATCACCTGAGGTCAGGATTTCGAGACCAGCCTAACCAGTATGGTGAAACTCCATCTTTATTAAAATTACAAAAATTAGCCAGGCGTGGTGGTGTGTGCCTGTTAGTAGTAGTCCCAACTACTCGGAAGGCTGAGACAAGAGAATTGCTTGAGCCCAGGAGGCGAAGGCTGCAGTGAGCCAAGATCGCATCACTGCATTCCAGCCTGGGTGACAGTGCAAGACTCTGCCTCAATTAAAAAAAAAAAAAAAATTAATCTAGAAACTAAAAACCCCTTAAGTACTATCCTCCAGAGATGATTTGTTCCTAACCACTAACTTTTAAAACATTTTTTTCTGCAGGTAAAATTGTTGAAAGAGATATTCATTATATAAACAAATTAATATTTGTGGATGTTTACAATATCTAATTTGAAAATTATATTGACATAATAAATTTCAAATTAAAGCCAATGCTTCTTACAAACTTACTATTATCAACTTACAGATAGTGAAGTACTTCTAAAAGTAGCTTCTCTTTCTTTTTTGAGAAAGAGTCCTGCTCTGTCGCCCAGGCTGGAGGGCAGTGATGAGATCTCAGCTAAATGCAAGCTCTGCCTCCTGGGTTTAAGAGATTCTCCTGCCTCAGCCTCCCAAGTAGGTGGTACCACAGGCGCGTGCCACCATACCAGGTAATTGTTTTTTATTATTTTTTTTTTTGAGACGATGTCTCGTTCTGTTGCCAGGCTGGAGTGCAGCGACGCGATCTCGGCTCACCGCAACCTCTGCCTCCCAGGTTCAAGTGATTCTCCTGCCTCAGTATCCAGAGTAGTTGAGACTACAGGTGCACACCACCACACCTAGCTAATTTTTTCGTATTTTTAGTAGAGATGGGGTTTCACCGTGTTGGCCAGGATGGTCTCGACATCCTGACCTTGTGATTTGCCTGCCTCGGCCTCCCAAAGTGCTGGGATTACAGGCACGAGCCACTGTGTCCCACCTAATTTTTGTATTTTTAGTAGAGACAGGGTTTTACCATGTTGGCCAGGCTGGTCTCAAACCCCTGACCTCAAGTGATCTGCCTGCCTCAGCCTCCTAAAATGCTGGAATTACAGGTGTGCCCCACCATGCCCGGCTAAAAATATTCTTCTCTTAAATGTAAACTCTAAATTATCCTCTCAATCAACTTAGCATTTACTATATGCCTAGTCTATATTCATTAGTGTATTATGAAGGATTCAAAAGAAATTCAAGATGTAACTTTATCCTACCTTTATTTAAGATAGCAAAATATTGTCTCAACCCTTGCTAGGCCACAGAGCTAATAAGAGAAACAGAAGTCGAAGAGGAAAAGAGCTGCAACTACTATTTGTTGGGCAATCTCTGTTGTCAACCTTACTGTCTTCTCCTAGTTATATGCAACCAGTGACATATTATTACTACTACTACTGAATACTTTTCAATAACCCTGTTCTAAACTCTGCTCCCTCCTGTGCAAATCCTGACCCTGCTCATTAGGTCTGAGCTCAATACAAACTTTAGGTTTAAAAAAGTTTATTTCTTTTAAGGTATTTTTAAAAATTAAATTTAAAAATTAAAAAAGGCAGGATTTTGCCCTGTTACCCAGGCTGGTCACAACACTTGAGCTCAAGTGAGTCAACTGCCTTAGCCTCCCCAGGTGCTGGGATTACAGGCATGAGCCACCATGCCTGGCCTAAAACAGTTTATTCCTTTCTTCTTCTTTTTTTTTTTTTTGAAATAAAGTCTCGTTCTCTCACTAGGCTGGAGGGCAATGGCACAATCTCAGCTCACTGCAACCTCTGCTCACTGCAACTTTCGCCTCCAGATATAAGTGATTCTTCCACTTCAGCCTCCCGAGTAGCTGGGACTACAGGTGTGCACCACCATGCCCAGCTAATTTCTTTATATTTTAGCAGAGACAGGGTTTCACCATGTTGGCCATGATGGTCTCCATCTCTTGACCTTGTGATCTGCCTGCCTCAGCCTCCCAAAGTGCTCGGATGACAGACGTGAGCCACTGCGCCTGGCCCAGTTTGTTCCTTTTGAACTGCATATTTGCCAGCTGTGTACCAACAAGCCACTTTCTTATTAGAAAAATGTTGCCTGAGATGGCCACCATATTAAGCATCTGTGATTCTAAGTAGGTTGCCTGGGAAAAGAGCAAGGAGAGAGTTGATGGAGATACACTAGCACCTCCCCTGAAACTCTAGAGCTGAATGACAGGGTATTAAATTTCTATAAATGTGGTACCTGAGTGTAAAAAGGTGCTAATTTTAGTATCTGTCACTGCAGAGATATATTTAAAGACACCTTTTTGGCACAATACACCTATAAGCCGTAATAATTAAATATTTATATATTCATAGTCATTAGACTAAAAAGCACAGGCAATTTCTTGAAGGAAAGCATGCAGAGTACAGTATTAGATTTATATCACATTAAAATATTATAATTCTGTTGGGCATGGTGGCTCACACTTGTAACCTCAGGACTTTGGGAGGCTGAGGTGGGCGAAGCAGGAGGATCTTGAGGTCAGGAGTTCAGACCAGCCTGGCCAACAAGGCGAAACTCCATCTCCACTAAAAATATGAAAATTAGCCAGGTGTGGTAGCGCAGGCCTGTAATCCCAGCTAGTCGGGAGGCTGAGGCAGCAAAATTGCTTGAACCTGGGAGGCAGAGATTGCAGTGAGTAAAGATGGCATGCCACTGCACTCCAGCCTGGGTGAGAGTGAGACTCCATCTCAAAAAAAATAAATCGGGTTTAAAAAAAAAAAATTACATTTCATCTTTTTTGAAAAAAAAGAAAAAGTACTTTCATATCAGCTTGAGAGCCATAGGCAATACGAACCTAAGCTTGACCACTGACCTTATTATAAAAAGATTATGCTGGGTGTGGTGGCTCACACCTGTAATCCCAGCACTTTGGGAGGCCGAGGCAGGCAGATCACGAGGTCAGGAGATTGAGACCATCCTGGCCAACATGGTGAAACCCCACCTCTACTAAAATATAAAAAATTAGCCAGGCATGGTCGCCCGCGCCTGTAGTCCCAGCTACGTGGGAGGCTGAGGCAGGGGAATCACTTGAATTCAGGAGGCGGGGGGTTGCAGTGAGCTGAGATTGTGCCACTGTACTCCAGTCTGGCTGACAGAGCAAGACTCCGTCTCAAAAAAACAAAAAACAAAAAAAAACACAACAAAAAAGATTTTAGGCTGGGCGTGGTGGCTCATGCCTGTAATCCCAGCACTTTGGGAGGCCAAGGCAGGCTCATCACCTGAGGTCAGGGGTTCAAGACCAGCCTGGCCAACATGTTGAAGCCCCATCTCCATTAATAATACAAAAATTAGCTGGGCATGGTGGTGCATGCCTATAATCCCAGCTATTCAGGAGGCTGAGGCAGGAGAATTGCTTGAACCCAGGAGGCAGAGGCTGCAGTGAGCCGAGATGGTGCCATTACACTCCAGCCTGCGCAACAAGAGTGAAACTCCATCTCAAAAAAAAAAAAAAGTTAACACTCTACTGAAAAGTCTTTCCATAGAGCCCAGGTATCTATCCCTTTTGCTTAAGGTACATCTTTCACCTGGTAGAGTAATTTTGGGTTGTGAGGCCCTGTTCTGACAAATTTTCCCTTCCCTAAGCCTTATTCTCTTTCCCTCCAATTGTCTTTACTTGCTAAATGATGTGCCTTATGTTTGCAATAATTCTTTTTATGGAACTTTTTCCTTTATATCACTGATTCATATTCTCTTTCTCCATATGGTCACCACCCCCTTGTCCTCCCACATACACTTACTTCTCTCTGTCTTTATTTTGCCCTTAGAATCAGCCTCCTCAATTTAAAAACCCATGATCCTGCAGATATGGGACATTTCATTTCCCAGTCTGGTTACTGAAGGCAACAAATTACTTGTTTCTGCTCTATCGTCATGTTTTTCGAATAAAAAAGCTGGTATATATTCTCCTCCAATTTCCAATTTCCTCAAGGAGGAACTTGTCCTAGCATGTATATAAAAAAGCTTGCCAGCCGGGCATGGTGGCTCACGCCTGTAATCCAGGCACTTTGGGAGGCTGAGGCGGGCAGATCACAAGGTCAAGAGATTGAGACCATCCTGGCCATGGTGGAACCCTGTCTCTACTAAAAATACAAATATTAGCCGGGTGTGGTGGCATGCGCCTGTGGTCCCAGCTACTCGGGAGGTGGAGGTGGAAGAACCACTTGAACCCAGGAGACAGAGGTTGCAGTGAGCCACTGCACTCCAGCCTGGCAACAGAGCAAGACTCTGTCTGGGGAAAAAAAAAAAAAAAAAAAATGCTTGTCTTGCTAAACTCAAAGTGTGGTTCATGGGCAAGCAAAATCACTTGGGAACTTGTTAAAAATGCAGAAATCAGGCCGGGCACAGTGGCTCACACCTGTAATCCCAGCACTTTGGAAGGCCGAGGCAGGTGGATTACCTGAGGTCAGGAGTTCAAGACTAGCCTGGCCAACATGGCAAAACCCCATCTCTACTAAAAAATCTCTACTAAAAAAAAAATACAAAAAATTAGCTGGGTGTGGTGACTCACACCTGTAATTCCAGCTACTTGGGTGGCTGAGGCAGGAGAATCTCTTCAACCTGGGAGGCAGAGGGTGCAGTGAGTTGAGATTGTACCATTGCACTGCAGCCTGGGGGACACAATGAGACTTCATCTCAAAAAAAAAAGAAAAAGAATAAAGATTAATAATGAAGGACAGAAACATGCTTACTCATATGAAAGATGTGACTGATATATGTTGAAACATGCTTTCCAAGTACGTAAAATGTTTACAGCTCAACACTCCAGGAACCTACACTTGTTAAACCCTAAAATTTCCCTCTTCATGTAAGTCAGTCAAATTTTAGTATTTAAGAAATTACAAATAACCCTAGCTTCATTTAGTTACAAATAAGACCTTTTAAAGGAAAGCTATGCATCAATTCCCAAGGGAAACATATTCTGCCCTTCACACATGAAATAATATGCTCTGGGCACATTTTTTTTCTTTTGTTTTTCATTGTGAGTTATGAATATACATTGACTCTTCTATAGTATATTGCCTATTTTAATTTAGAGCCAAAGGTACAAAACTGTAGGGAGACCAAGTTCAGGTTACTATTAAATAGGAAAATCCAAATTTTATGTACATATGAAATTTCTATATTTAAATTAAAATATGACATGCTTTAAAATTTTAATTAATCTGGCCGGGCGCAGTGGCTCACGCCTATAATCCCAGCACTTTGGGAGGCCGAGGCGGGTGGATCACGAGGTCAAGAGATCCAGACCATCGTGGTCAACATGGTAAAACCCTGTCTCTACTAAAAATACAAAAAATAGCTGGGCATGGTGGTGCGCGTCTGTAGTCCCAGCTGCTCTGGAGGCTGAGGCAGGAGAATTGCTTGAACCCAGGAGGCGGAGGTTGCGGTGAGCTGAGACTGCGCCATTGCATTCCAGCCTGGGTAACAAGAGCGACACTCTGTCTCAAAAAAAAAAAAAAAAAAAAAAAAAAAATTTAAACTAATCTTCATGCTATAGATTTTTCCTCTAACTGTATAATTTTGGCCATTTGAGTCTTTTTGTTTAAATTGGCAGAAAGTTGAAATCTTTGGCTATTCAGGAAATTAAGATTACAGATGCTTTGGGCCCCCACAAATAGTACATTACATCATTATTCACTTTAGCAGGAGATATACGGGGACAGTAGGGTTAGAAGTTTGTAGAAGGTTACTTGAAAGATAATTATAACTTGTTTCCCCTAATCTGCATACATTAGAACTAATTTTAATAAAACTTATAAAGTACATAGAAAACATTTAAAGCTATTGTTGGAGAAGAAGGAGGATATACAGATTCAGTTGGATTGTGTTCTACTTTTCGATGTATGAATTTATGGCAAACAATGCAGTTTGTGGTTTATTCATTTCTTTCAATAAAAATATTTAGAAAATATAATTTTTGTTTTTCATTTTTTTGTTTTGGAGATGGAGTCTCCCCCTGTCACCCAGGCTGGAGTGCAGTGGCACTATCTTGGCTCACTGCAACTTCCACCTCCTGGGTTCAAGTGATTCTCCTGCCTTTAGCCAGGTGTGGTGGTGTGTGCCTGTAGTAGCTGTGACCATCACACCTGGCTAAATTTTTGTATTTTTAGTACAGACGGGGTTTCATCATGTTGGCCAGGCTGGTCTTGAACTCCTGACCTCAGGTGATCCACCTGCCTCGGCCTCCCAAAGACCTAGGATTACAGGTGTGAGCCACCACATAGAGCTGAGACAAGGTTTCACCATGTTGCCCAGGCTGGTCTTGAACTCCTGGGCTCAAGTGAACTGCCCACCTCAACCTCCCAAAGGACTGGGGTTATAGGCATGAGTCACTGCACCTGGCTTTTTTTTTTTTTTTCCAGATAAGGTCTCTCTCTGTTACCCAGGTTGGACTGCTGGAACTCCTGGGCTCAAGCAATCACTCCACCTCCACCTCCTGAGTAGCTGGGGATAGAGGCGTGTGCCAATACGCCTGGCTATTTTTTATTTTTAGTAGAGATGAGGTCTCACTATGTTGTCAAGGGTAGAAAATATAAGCTTTAGGCCGAGCATGGTGGCTTACGCCTGTTATCCCAGCACTTTGGGAAGCCGAGGCAGGTGGATCACCTGAGGTCAGGAGTTCGAGAACAGCCTGCCTAACATGGTGAAACCTCATCTCTACTAGAAATACAAAAATTAGCCAGGCATGGTGTCAGGCACCTGTAATCCCAGCTACTCGGAAGGCTGAGGGAGGAGAATTGCTTGAACCTAAGAAGCAAATGCTGCAGTGAGGTGAGATCATCCAGCCTGGGTGACAGAGCGAGATTCCATCTTAAAAAGAAAAAAAAAGAAAATATAATTTTTAATGTGAGAAATCCTATATTTGAGAGATGCCTCAATTTATCAGTGGTTTTTATGAAGCAAAATTAAAAACAAACATGGAGCCTGGGCGTGGTGGCTCACGCCTGTAATCCCAGCACTTTGGGAGGCCCAGGTGGGCAGATCACGAGGTCAGGAGATCGAGACCATCCTGGCCAACATGGTAAAACCCGTCTCTACTAAAAATACAAAAAATTAGCCGAACGTGGTGGTGCGTGCCTGTAGTCCCAGCTACTTAGGAGGCTGAGGCAGGAGAATCACTTGAACCTGGGAGGTGGAGGTTGCAGTAAGCCGAGATCGTACCACTGCAATCGAGCCTAGGTGACAGAGTGAGACTCTGTCTCAAAAAAAAAAAAAAGTCTCTGATGTGAGTCTCTGTTCCTCTGCCATTGGAAGAGTTAGAGAAATCTATGAATCTTTTCTTAGTGAAAATGTAAGTGATCTACATGAGAACAAACCTGCAGACTGGGCTTACTGGCATCATATTCTGAGGGCAGATAACATTTTTAAACGTTGTTATATGATTACAATGATTGCAAAAAAACTTAACCATTTATTACAAAAATGCTAAAGTTAATTAAACTTACAATTCAACTAGTCCACTCCAGTATCCACCTAATGCCACAGTGAACACAGCAATTACAAAAATAACCACCATAGTATAATCAAAGTTAGGCCACAATGGAGAATACATTTTCACAGTAACGTTATTTCCTAGAGTCTGAAAGGCAAAATAACAGTTAAACACAGGAATAACTTTTCTCTGTACTATAGTCATAACAGCAACAGTCCACATTTTACTCTGGAATGGATATTATACATCAGACAGTCAAGAAGACTAGAATTATTGTCTGATGATGTAATATATTCTCTAGTCAAAAGTATGATACGCTTTGGTTTATAAAATCTTGAAAGTGCAGCGTTCCACACAATCACATTTTGTTTAAGAATTTAAAGCTAAAATAAATGACATGACATTTTTTTTTCCTTTTTTTCTAGAGTGCATTCTTGAGACAAGAGATTTTTAAAGAACTGGAGACAAACATCCTTTCTCAGGCTTAGTAGGCTTTGAGACACGTTGTGCCAAATGAGAGATGAGTACTTTCCAAAGAAAAACTTGACAGGCCTTATACTCTCTTGTTAGCAAATGGAGCAAATGTAACACTCAAAATTAAATAGCAGTGATTAAAAATAAAGAGATATATTATTTATAAACTTTATCTAATATGTAATTACTAATTTACCTGCTTCATATCTTTAAAGTCTTTGTGGCTTATAAATGCAATCAGTATTTTCACATCAGGAAATTCAGATCTGTTACCTGAGGGAGGAAACTAAAAAAAAAAAAAAAAAAAAAAAAATTATGAAAACTTATTAACTACTGTTTATAGAATAAAATACTAAAATACTATTCCAATAAATATAAATATTATATATTTCTTTAAGTTATAAGACAAAATTTCAGGTATTCTTTCTTAATATTCTGTAAGTTCTCAAAATTGAATCCTTTTAACATGAACTTAAATTGATGAATGCTATCACACATGGCATTTATAATATGATATATATCCTATTATGTAAGCATAATACACATATGTCTATATATATGCATATATATGTATTTGCTCCTAACAAAGTCTTACCTGTTCTAGGAATAGAAAACCTGCAAAACTTTCCAAGTGAATACCTATGAGGTCTTATTTATTTGCAAAGAATCTTGCTATCAGATTACTCAAAACCCAGCCTCTAAACCATATAAAAGACGTTTATTCCATTTCTGTGAAATTTCACATCATAAGCTCAAAATAAGTTATGATTGTTTTTATAACTTACTAGGACACTGTTGTTGACAACTAACATTGCTTTAGCACCTCCTTTCTGTGCAATTCTGGCTTTTTCAAGAAAATGGCAGCTTCCCCATGGCACCACAACTGCTTTGTTCTTTATACCAACAGGAGGAATATCAGAAAGGTTGCATAGTGGTGTGGAGGTCAGATTCATCAAATTAATGGAAGTCTGAAAATAAGAAATGTCTTTTTAACATGATAAAAATCATATTTCATCCTAAATGCATTCAGTTATAAATACTGCATTCAGTTATCAATATTGGTTTAAGACAATATCTTTTAAACTAGAAATATCTAGGCTTAGAATTAAGTATTTAAAATTCTCTATTTTCCTAGAGAGAAAAACATGTGAGAAAAATCAATAAAATTATTATTTATTAACAACCGTATATTATAATGGTTTCATACAATAAAACACAATTATCACTCATTCTCACTTCTTCAATTTTTTTTTTTTTTTTAATAGAGACAGGGTGTCAGTACATTGCCCAGTTGGTCTTGACCACTTGGTCTCAAACAATCTTCCCATCTTGACCTCCCAAAGTGCTGGGATTACAGGTATTAGTCATTGTACCCAGCCTTCTTCACTATTTTTATGTTTATGAATAGTAACTGTGATTTACTTACTGTATTTTCTAGGGTACTTGGTAGAGCTGTCCAATAAGGGTTATAAAGCATGCAGTAGTCCTTGGATGTGCCATTTCCAGATGCATGCAAGATTGCTTCCTGAGCGGCTGTCTAGAAGACAAACAATAACTTTCAAACCAGCAATGATTTGGCTTTCCAACAACTAAGGATATTAATAAAGCTATTTATATACAGGGTTGATCACATTTCCTTGAGAGGGATAGCCTTCCATGAATTTATTTAATCTTGTTTGAGGAAATAAAAAGGAGGCTTAGGAATATTAAAACTATACATAATTGCCTAGCACACCTTCTTTAAGGAAAATAGGTCACTTTCTTAAGGGAATAACAATTATGACTTGTTATAAGGGTCGTACCCCAGGGAGGAGTCTTGCTATGATGTAACTTCAGTCCTCCCTTGACAGCTGGAAACTTTCCATTCCAGTCTCCTATGAATTACTACTTCATTATTTGTTTGTTTATTTATTTATTTGAGACTGTGTCTTGCTTTGTCACCCAGACTGTAGTGCAGTGGCACGATCTTGGCTCACTGCAACCTCCACCTCCCAGGTTTAAGCAATTCTCCTGCCTTAGCCTTCTAAGTAGCTGGTACTACAGGTGCATGCCACCACGCCTGGCTAAGTTTTGTATTTTTGGTAGAGACAGGGTTTCACCATGTTGGTCAGGCTAGTTTTGGACTCCAGACTTGCCAAAGTGCTGGGATTACAGGCGTGAGCCACTGCACCCGGCCACTGTTTATATTCTATAAAACGACATGTACTCAAAATCCCTCAATCTGTCTCACCTTCCATATTCTACTAGGAACTAGAGTACAAAGAAAAAAAGTACATTATTATTTCTAAGGGCTATCTTTGGAAGGGAACCAGCTGGAACTTGAAGTAAATTATTCTTGCTCATGTTTTCAACATTCTCCAACTGCCTATTCAAAAAGACCAAACCAGAATTTAAAGTACCGAAAAAGAAAAGCTTTGTCTCATTTCCCACTACCTTACATAGAATTAGATAAGAAAATAAGATGAGAAAAAGAGAAATACAGTTTTCATTCAGCTATATACTTGGTGGCTATAACTGGATTCTGACAGCAGAGCTGAACTAATAACGTTACATTCTTACGATATAACAAACTACATGCTAGGTTACTTTAATACATTTTTCTGATTCAGTGTCCCTGTTTTACAAACAAGGGCTCTGGGACTCAGAAAAGTCACTAACATAACCTACCTAAGGAAGGTCATAATAGTAGAATCATTTTCAATTCTAACTATAGAAAGTAATCCTGCAGATAAACAGGAGGGTTTATTTTTGGAAAGAATGTTTCACAAGTGAATTGGGCAATTCTTACTGCATCCAACAAAATAACACATTAACACCATGATTTCCTGCACTAGTGTTGCTGATTTGACGATCTGCTTAAGGTGGTAACTGTAGGATTTCTCCAGTGTAAAGATATGTTTTTCCCTTTTATTTTTGATAAATAAGTAATCTACGACACCATGTGAACAGCCCAACAGCTTCTTCTCACCAGGATATTAGCCTCCATGATGATCCTTGCCTAAAAGTAATTTCCCATGTCATACTGAGGATTACAAGATGGTGAATTTTTAAAATATTGTCTTTCCTCCTACCCTTACTGGCTAGTCTCCATTTTTTTTTTCTTGATATGGAGTTTCGCTATTGTTGCCCAGGCTGGTGTGCAATGGCATGATCTCAGTTCACTGCAACCTCTGCCTCCTGGGTTCAAGCGATTCTTCTGTTTTAGCCTGAAGAGTAGCTGGGACTACAGGTGACTGCCACCATGCCCAACTAGTTTTTTTGTATTTTGAGTAGATAGGGGGTTTTGTCATGTTGGCCAGGCTGGTCTTGAACTCCTGACAAGTGATCCACCCGCCTCGGCCTCCCAAAGTGCTGGTATTACAGGCATGAGCCACCAAGCCCAGCCGTATCCTTCTTTTTAAAAGAGCTCTACTCTTTCCCCTACCATCTTTTAGTATCAATAGAGATGAATTTATGTTTTAAAAAATTCAGGGTGGTATAATTACAATGATTTGTTTGATATCCAAACTGTCCCAAATTTGGTCATTTAGAGCCTCTTCTAGCTGACCCTTTGTATCCTTTATACAAGACTCACACCTGTAACACTAGCACTTTGGGAGGCTGAGATGGGTGGATAACCTGAGGTCAGGAGTTCCAGACCAGCCTGGCCGACATGGCGAAACCCCGTCTCTACCAAAAATACAAAAATTAGGCCAGATGAAGTGGCTCATGCCTGTAATCCCAGCACTCTGGGAGGCCATGGCGGGTGGATCACTTGAGGTCAGGAGTTTGAGATCAGCCTGACCAACATGGTGAAACCCCCTTTCTATTAAAAACACAAAAATTAGCTGGGTGTGGTGGTGGATGCCTGTAGTCCCAGCTACTCAGGAGGCTGAGGCAGGAAAATCACTGGAACCCGGGGAGTGTGCGTTGCAGTGAGCCGAGATCATGCCACTGCACTACAGCCTGGGCGACAGAGTGAGACTCCATCTCAAACAAAACAAAACAAAACAAAAAAACCCTTCTATGGGCACAGTCTTACTCTGAGCAGTAAAAAACAAACAAAAAACACACACAAAAAACAAAGACTTCATTCATCTTTGAGGACTTCTTGTTTTTTTTGGCACAAGGTATCCTAGGCTGACTTTGTCCTTTATCTGCTACATATCCAGATCCAGCCATTTTATTAAGCTCCTTGAGGAGAGGAAAGGTACCCAGATCAGGATCTGGGTCCTAACTGTGCATGCTGCTGTTCAAGTAGTATAACCTTTTTAATAAATAATTAGCAGCATCTATCAAAAATTTTAATATATGGAATCCTCTAATTCTTATCTACATATATAGTATGCAAAAGCACAAAAATAAAGGTACAAGTATATTCACTGCAATATTGTATGTAATAGCAAAAAAACCCAACCTCCACCAATAAGGTACCTGTTGCATTATGATATGCACAATACACAGCTACACAAAAGAAAGAGCTAGGTCTATCTCCAGAAACAGAAGATATCCATAAAATAACAAATGAACCAAAAATAAAAGAATAAAAAAAAAAATAAAAAGAGAAAAAAAATAGATGTCCATAGTGAGAAAAGTTTTAGAGTGATATTTATAGTATAATCCTATTTTTATATAATAACCCCTCAAGAAGCCCCTACAATGTAATGTATCTGTACATTTATATGAGCTTGAAGAAAAATGTGGAGAGATACGCAAAGAGGCTATTAAAAGAATATACAGCAAAGTTTGTGAGGGAGCCAGCATGCAGCATGCCCCAACAAGTTAAGCCTTTCCATTACATTTTAAATATCTTCATAGATACTGCATAGCTTCAAAAATTCAGTTTACTACAATAGATATTATGGTACAAAGGTTAGATTAAGAGCATGAGTTTTAAAATGATAATCCAAGGATACAATGCTAGTTTCACCATTTACTGGTTATAAGTGATTTAATCTATCTTAAGTTTCAATATCCTCAGCTTTGAGATAATAATAAACACTCAGACCTCACAGTTATGATAAGGATTAAGTTAGATGATGCAATTGTTAATACGTATTAAGCTCTTAATAAATATATCTAGCACCTTGCCAAGCACTTGTGCAATGTAAAAGAACTACAAAAGATTAATGGTGAGAAGATTAGTGGTTACTTGGGTCCTGGTGGGATGTGGAAATAAGGGGTACAGGTAAAGGGTATGAGTCCCCGCCCTCCCTCCTTCCTTCCTTCGTTCCTTTTTTTTTTGGAAAGAGTCTCATGCTGAAGTCCAGGCTGGAGTGCAATGGCGTGATCTCGGCTCACTGCAATCTCTACTTCCCGTGTTCAAGGGATTGTCCTGCTTCAACCTTCTGAGTAGCTGGGATTACAGGTGCACACCACCATGCCTGGCTAATTTCTGTATTTTTGGTAGAGATGGGGTTTTGCCATGTTGGCCAGGCTGGTCTTGAACTCCTGACCTCAGGTGATCCACCGGTCTTGGCCTCCCAAAGTGCTGGGATTATAGGTGTGAGCCACCATGCCTGGACTTCTTTCTTTAAGGCTTTTAGAGCAGTTTTAGGCTCACGGCAAAATTAAGCAGAGAATACAGAGTTTCAATATATCCTCTTATCCTACACATGTGTAGCCTCTCCAACTATCAATATCCCAAAGCCAAGTGGTACATTTGTTATAACCGATGAACCTCCATTGACACATCATTATCATCCAAAGCCCACAGTTTCCTTTAAGGTTCATTTGGTGTTGTACATCTTATGGGTTTTGGTAAGTGTACAATGACACATGTCCATCATTACAGCATCGTAATAAACAGTTTCACTCCCCTAAAATTCCTAAGTGTGCCACCTATTGAGTTTCTTTTGCTGATGATGAAAATTTTATAAAATTGGCTGTGGCGATAGTTGATATTACATGTATCTGTGTATATACTTATTGACCTATACACTTTAAATGGATAGATTGTTTGGTATGCAAATTATATGTCAATAAAGCTGCTGAAAAAGAACACAAAACAAGAAAGTGGCCGGTCGAGGTGGCTCACGCCTATAATCCCACCACTTTGGGAGGCCGAGGCGGGCGAATCACGAGGTCAGGATTTCAAGACCAGCCTGGCCAGTATGGTGAAACCCCATCTTAAAAAAAAAAAAAATTAGCAAAACAAGAAAGTAAAGTCTTACTGGGGAGGTTAAAAGCAAACCTGAAACAGATAATCATGAACAGGATGTAATTAAAGTCAAAGACTTCCTAGGGAAAACTTTAATAGTTCTTAAGGTATTAAAAATGCAAATCTGGATTGGCATGGTAGTTCATGCCTCTAATCCCAACCCTTTGGGAGGGTGATGCAGGAGGGCCACTTGAGGCCAAGAGTTCGAGACCAGTCTGGGCAATATGGAGAGACCGTTTCTTCAAAAAAAAAAAAAATAAATAAATTGCTGGTTGTAATGGTGTGTACCTATAGTCCCAGCTACTCTAGAGGCTGAGGTGAAAGGATTGCTTGAGCCTTTGAGGTTGAGGCTGCAGGGACCCATGACCATGCCACTGCACTCCAGCCTAGGTGACTTT